GTAGGTTTACGGGATATATATTTGATTCGTGGAATTTATCAGAGGATTCTGATTTTGTGTTTGATTTTTGAATACTCTGTGTTGTTATGCAGTGCGTAAATTTTGGAAGAGCGGTTTGGATGTGGAATTCACCGAGAATGGCTGCGAAGATGATGATGATGAGGAAAGAGGCGCCGGCGACAGCGACGGCGGCGAAGATGAACGAAGTGATGTTGTTCGCGAAATGCGAGTGCTGCGGACTGACGGAAGAGTGCATGGAGGCGTACGTAGCGAAGGTCCGAGAGCGAAACCAAGGGCGGTTGATATGCGGGTTGTGAGCGAGGTCGGAGCGGCATATTGGCAGTGAAGAGGCTCTGAACATCCACACGACGTTCTGCAAAAAGTTCAAAGCTCAGAGGGCGCCGCCGAGCAAAGACAACAATGAAGCAATTAAATATCTCTTAGTTTTTATTTTTTACATGGCAAGAAAAGACTAATTTACCCTTAGAAAAACAAGAGATGTGTAAATTTCCGGTGGGTTGGCCGGATTCTTGGTCGGATGGGACCAAATGTGGAAAAGAAATTGAAGTTAGGCACTAATTTTGTCTGAAATAAAAGTCATGAATCACATTTGTCAGCACAAGTAAAGTCAAGGGACCAAAAGTGGAAAAAACTCAATTTGTAAAATTGGTCAATGACTATGACTTTCTTAGTAAATTTGGTCCTTCCAGTGCATTTTTCGTTCAATTTTTGTCGGAAAATTTTACTCTCAATTTTAACATGGGTAATATTGTCTTTTCCATCTCACAAACTAATGACATAAATAAATAAATAAATAAATTAAACATAGCCAGTGGTACGATACGGTGATTGAAAATAAAAGTCACCCAATTCCAATTCCACTTTCAGTTTCACCCTCCTCGCTAAACGCCAAAATTTGTTAGTTGTTTATTTATTTATTTATGTCATTAGTTTGTGAGATGGAAAAGACAAGAGAAAATGAAACTTTTTCCCCCTTTGTTATATACTTCTATCATTTTTTTCCCTTAATTATTTAAGTGGCAGTTTTTTCTCCTGATATGTTAAATAAACATATTTACCCTTAAAATAAATATTTCATTTATTTTTCTTCTCCAACAAATTATAACCACGATTTGGTTCAAATCGAACAGACACTATAGCAACCAAACAGAGAGGTTATGATGACAATTTAGAACCGAAACCCGATATTTAGAGTTTATTAAAATCATGAACCAAAACTGCCAGTTCATGTATGTTCTGAATTGAAAAAATAAAATACATTAATTGTTGAATTTAGAATATTTTAAAAATAAAAAAATAAAAATTTAAAAGAAAGTTTGAACCAGCTGTTCAAATTGGATCTGAAACCGTGAATTGACGGTTCAAAATCAAAACCAAATCGCGGTTATATATACTTATATGGGAGAATCAGAATAAATGCGAAAAAAAAACATACACTATTTGTAAATATTATAATTCTAATTTTAAACTAATGCTAGTAGTTGTTTCGATTTCAACCTCCGGTTCACGGTTCAGGATTCCTTTTTTCTTTTCTTTTCTTTTTTTCGGTTCACGATTTTAATAAACAGAAACCCAATATTGAGTTATGATTCTGAATCATAACAAAAATTTTTGATTTGATTGCTATAGTGGGTGGTTATCCCTACGTATAAGCAATACTTTGTTGAAGAAGAGAAATAAATAAAATATTTATTTTAAGGGTAGAAACGTTCATTTAATATATCAGGGGAGGAAAATCGTCACTTTTATAATAATTGAGAGGGCAAATGTGGATGCATGAATAACTCAGGGGAAAAAAATGTTATAAGCATATAACTCAGGGGGAAAAAGTGTCATTTTTCCAAAAGACAATATTACCCATGTTAAAATGTGGAGTAAAACTTTTCGGTAAAAATTGAACGGAAAATGCACCGAAAGGACTAAATTTACTAAGAAAGTCATAGTCGTGGACCAATTTTACAAATTTTAAAAATCATGAATCAAAATTATTAGTGACACTATAGTTATAGGATCAAAAATACAAAAAACTCAAACTAAACACATCAAATGGAACCAGGACTATGTGGTCCAATGGTACCCGGGTTGGACTTCCATTTGGAAGATTATGAGTTCGAGCCTCAGTGGAGGCGTTATTGGTTCTTTGTGTTTCAGTAGGTTGAGAAAGTATATGAACAGATACTACAATGTAATAGAACCAGTAACTTTCAAAAAAAAAAAAAAAAACACATCAAATGGAAGAGAGTATTTCCAATGATCCTTCAGAAATTTGAAAAGACATATATTCTCAATCCATCAAAATCAGGTTCGAAGTATTCTCAATCCATCACAATCAAGTTCACCTAAAAACTTTAAATGATATTTTACTAAAGATGTCAATGGACTTCAATTAAAAAGTTAAATTTATTTAATTTTATTCGAAATTTGAAATTATCTTTATTCTTGTAATACCCTCTCACACTTAAAAAGTTAATCTTACTTTTATATCACCAAATTTATAATTCTTTTATTCTATACTATTTTCTATACATCTTTGTGATACTCTCTTTCTTAGTTTCAAAAATAGCCCAACTTTCAAATAATAATAATAATAATAATAATAATAATAATATTATTATTATTATTATTATTATTATTAGATGACAAAAGCCTTTTGTCAGCTTGAAGGCTTTCAACAAGTGAAAGTTTTCAAACCAAGCTAGCACTCTAATAAAAAGTACATTTTTAATATACTAAATGTACATTATTTATGTATTTAATGTACATTACATAATATAATGTACACTCAGTACACAAGTAATGTACATTCCTTGAATATAATGTACATTTTTAATATATTAAAAATACATTATTTTTATACTGAATGTACATTATTTTACAGTATACAAAATATGGTCCACACAATAATGATTGACACCCTAAAGCCTTTTTAAAATAAAATAAACTTCATGTTATCTTGAAGGGGGGAGAATTGCATGAATAAATTGAGCCTTAGGCTATCTCCACCCATGCATTTTTCTTTCACTTTCAGAATGCTACATCACTAAATTTACAATTATTTACTATTCACTCTACATCCACATGTAATTCCATCTCTGCTTTTAAAAATGGCACACTATCACATTAATTTATAAAAAATTATTATTATTATTAATAAAATAATACTAATAATAATATAATAAAAAATATAAATGCCCTCTCTCTCCTGCCCTCTTTGCATGTCTGACACTGCAATTGCAAAATTTGCAAGTATGCCTCAGACTTGTAAAGAGGAAGGCCAAATGTAATTCAAAAAAAAAAAAAAAAAAAAAATGTCATGTAAGCTTTACAATACCCAAAATTTCATAGGTGTAGATGGCCTTAATTGATTGATTTGAACTTTTGCTATAAAAAGAAAAAAAGACAAGGGGAAGGGGTTGTCCTCTTCTCCTAACCACCTGTCACTCTGTCATTGTCACTAAATAAATAAATAAATAAATTCATATCCTCTTAGCATCCACATTAGTTGGGAAGAATATGGAGATAATGTAAGAGTGATTAGGAGAGAGAATGTGGGGAAGGGAGGAAAAAAAATTAAAAAACTAAAATTAAAAAACAAACGAAAAAAAATAAGAAAAAAGAGCTGTCAGGCGCGCCTGACGCGCCCGTGTGGGCGGGCTGCTATGCGCGAAACGCGCACAGCAGCCTGATGTTTCTTTTTTTCTTTCTTCTTCTTTTTCTGACAATATGCCAACATTTGCAGGACAAATCTTTTTCAATTATCTCCCCTCTACATTAGCTATTATCTCTTGTTTGAAGAATGCAAACTGAAATCTCTCCATAATATGCACAAGTGTGGATGCTCTAAGTCAAAGCTATCTTTATTCCTATGGAAAATACTACTCCTATTTCCAACTTTTATTTCCTTTCAGAAAATTTTGATATTGACATTTTCATTGAAACCGATATAGTGAAGATAACTAAGAGCATCCACATTAGTTGGGGAGAATTGGGGGATAATGGAAGAGTGATTAGGAAAGAGAAGATGGGAGGGGAGAGAAAAAAAAAGAAAAACAAAAAGGAAAATTAAATTTTTAAAAAATAAAAAAATAAAAAAATTTGACTGTCTCGGCGCGCCTGACGCGCTGCACGCGCCCGCTGTGCGCTATGGTGACAGCCACGCGTGGCTGTCACCAGTGGTGCATTATTTCACTTTTTATGGTGGGTCCCACCATTTTCTGAATTCTCCCTTCACTTGCAGGAGAATTATTTCTCAAATAACTCCTCCCCACATTAGCTATTATTTTGGGTGGGGAGAATTAATTCTAAAATAACTCCAAATAATCCACAAATGTGGATGCTCTAATTATCAATTACCAAGAAATAAAAGTGAGAGAGTAAAAATAAAAAGTACATGTAGTAATACTTTATCCCTATGATTCTATTTCACTTTCAAAAACTAATCTTACTTTTATTAAATTTGTAATTCCTTCTCTATTTTTATTACATCTCTATAATTCAAGGAGCACACAATAAATCTTGGATCTTCCACACCCCTATTGCAGAGAAAAACCACAGAAAGCAATGTTGATCTTCATTTATGGAGAGCATGGCTAAATTCACAATGGATGGAGAACATGGGCATAAATGCACCGATCTCAACTAAAAATTTAAGCATATAACGAAACTACGCATTTATTACTTTGTATATATTATACTCAACATCGCCTGCCGATGACCTTGTGGTCTAGTGGCTCTCTCAAATGGGAGGTCATGGGTTTGATCCCCAGTGAGGGTAGTTCAGTATGTTGAGAAAGTAGTTATAAACAGATACTACATTTGTAACAGATCAATAGTACTCAAAAATACTCAACATCGCCTCGTGCAAGCTAATATAACATACTTGAGCACAAAACATACTTGGCTCAGTCAAGAAAGTCATCCTTCTCCAAAAATGATCAATAGCAGCAGTTTAGCAAACTTATATATACATAACTGAAAGGTATGGAATGGAAGTCTAGATTATGAGTAAAAGATTAGTCTAACAGCAATGAACAACAAAGTAAGACATCATAATCTCAAGGCACTGAAAAGCAAATGGAATGAAATCTTGTTATGATGTTATCTATATTGCTTATGGATGCATAAGCAGAAAGGTGATATGATTGCACTCTCCTCGGGATAAAGCAGAAAATTTGTATGCTAAACACATATTGTCGTTAACAGAAGGGAGCATTTTGAACTGATGCATATGAAAGAATAGTTAAGCCTCAGCCACCGATATGTATCATTGGTCTGTTCGGTGTTTTTGCTATGTCGAACATTCCAGCATGAGAAGCCTTTTTCCTTTTGATCTGACGAGGAAGAATAAATGGAAAAGGAGATCAATATCCCATAAGCTAGCACTTCACACGAATAAATGAGCGAATGATGATAAGAATAGATACTAAACATCATCAAACAAACATTAGTAAAGATCCAAATAAAAGGGCACCAAGGTGACATACTGGGCATAACTAGAAGTACGTATGGACAGATACTACATTGTAACAGGGTCAGTAGTACTCCAAAAAAAAAAAAAAAAAAAAACTTACTGCAGCACCAATAATCTTCCTTAGTTCATCATCGTCAGCACCACAACGAATGGGATCCCTCAAGCTAACCTGGGCATGAAGAAGCATAGAAGTTTTTATGAAAATATGACACTAAGTAAATCCTTAGGTGTTAATATTTAACCGGTTGATGCTTTTAGATCATAGAGAGTGGGTGTTTGGTGCATGATTGACTGGAGAACGCTCACCTCCGAGGGACCAAAAAGGCAGACTTTAAAATTCCCGTCTGCCAAAAGCCTCAACCTGTTGCAACCAGCACAAAAGTGCTCGGTCATTGATGTAATGAACGAAACTCTGCCCTGATGCCCATCGATACAGAAATTCTTAGCTGTCTCCGTTGGATGATCCTTAATTCTTTGAAGCCCTGTAAATCGTTTAACCTGTTCATTAATATTTAACAGTTTAGGCAATGTGAAAAAGGACCAAATAAATTATAGATCTAATGCCAAAATTCTACCTTACCGCAATGTCCAACATCTCCTTGTACGGTACAAGCTTCTTGGCATTCCAAACATTCCCATCAAAAGGCATAAACTCAATAAACCGGACATTGATTGGTTTATCACGTGTCAACTCTATGAAATCACAAATCTCATCATCATTGAATCCACGCATTACCACACAATTCACCTGGGTGAATGGAAATCCAAGAATTCAGAACTAAGTTCTTTGTCACAGACCAAGATGATTACGGATTACCATACAGAGAAGAGACCTTACTTTAACTGGATTATAACCAACATCTATTGCAGTCCGAATCGACTCCATCACCCTTTCATGTCCTTTGCGTCTAGTCATGAACTCAAACTTCGCTGGAACCAATGTGTCCAAGCTAATGTTAACCAAATTAACTCCACATTCTTTCAATCGAGCAAGCTTCCGTGCTAAAGTAATCCCATTTGTAGTTATGGCAAGTGTCCTCAGTCCCTTCAATTTTGAAAGCTCTAGGCAAATATCCTCAAAATCCTTCCGGATTGTTGGCTCTCCACCAGTCAAACGAATTTTATCCACCCCGGAGCTGACAAACAAATTCGCTACGCGAATAATTTCACTCCGTGTTAGAATTTTCGGGTTAGGAGTGAGTTCAACACCATCAGCCGGCATGCAATACTGGCACCTTAAATTGCAGCGTTCAGTCAAGGATATCCTCAAATAAGTATGCAGCCTTCCAAAAGTATCAACCAACATGTTCGATGCACCATCTTTCGCAACATCTTCTCGCAGTATTCCACACGATGAAGTCGAGTAAGTGTTTAGCAAAGAATTGTCTACATAATGACCAATGGAACCCTGTGCATTGCTGTGTATAGATTGAAACAGCAATCTTGTAGCACAATTCCTCTGGCAGTTAACCATTACAAGTATTCAGTTAGAAATCCACAATTTAACCAATCAGCAATCTTTACATCAAACCCAACCAGGCTAAGATTAGAGAAATTGAAATATGGTTGTAATATACACATAGAAACTCATATAAGAATAAGATAAAGCAGATAAAGAGTGTCTAAAAGTAGTGAACAACAAGGACAAAACATTTGAAAAATTCTACAAAGAGTTCAACCCTATGCTCCATATTAGACAAGTTTCAACATCTGCTCCTATCAGGGAAAGACTGTCTTGGGGAGTTCAGAACCACAATCCATGGATATACAAACAGAAAGTATATAAATTGGTCAATTGATTCAATTCCAAAAAATTTCTTTATTGTAAGAACCTAGTTAACCACTAACCCAAAACAGGAGAAAAAAGAACTAATTGAGTAAACATGGAACATTTGAAAAAGGAAAAAATTACAGTAAGAGAAAGACTAAGCTACATACCAGATTGAAATTTGTGGTGCAACCCAGATTCCAATGGAAAAATCTGGGTATAGGAGGCCGCATATTGGACAGCTGAAAATAGAAATCTTGATGAAGTGTTGTGTTGAACAAAAGCTGGATGGATGAATGAAGAGCAAGTTCGGTATACAGAATTATTGGCAGAAATAAGCCAAACAGACTAAAGAAATCCGGACACCAAAAGAGACCCGCCAGGCTTGTTCAACTGATAGGAAAAAAAAAAAAAAAAATCCTTTTGTATAATTTATTTACTTTTATTTATTTATACTAGTTGCGCCATCGCAATAACATATGCCCAATATTTATATTTTTAAAAATAATCAATAAATTTTTACTAATTAAAATCTATATGAAATCAAATTTATTTATTATAATAATCTAATATATAATGTCTACAAATATTATTATCACTAAAGAATATAAGAAAATATATGGTGGATGCATGTGCATGATAACAATAATGAAAAAGATAATGGAAGTTATAACGGTAGGGGTATTTTTGTTCAAAAAATTATATGATACAACTCTAAAAGCACAATGTATAAAATCATTAGCATTAAAAACATGGACATAAATGAGGGATATAACTTTGATTGAGACTTATTATGTATTTATTATTATATATTTTGTTAAATATTTATACATTAATTTTTTATATTACTCCGTATTAAACATGAATTATATTATTTGAAAAAAAATTATCAGAACAATTAAATAAGACTAATAGTAAATATAAATTAATTAAAAATTAAATTACAAAGAACATAATTTTAACAAAATTAAAATAATTACTTCCAAAATTAAATTACATAAAATATTATTATTTATATCAGAAATTATATTTTATATTAAACTAATTAAATTTGAGTTAATAAACTTTTAAATTTGAAGAAACTAAATTATTTTAGTATAGAATGTGATGAGTTATAGAATAAAATTTAATGTGAGAATATTCTTTTGATGTGATTTTGGAGTGGATTTTTCGTATTTTGGTGTAACAAAAATTTAGATTTTTTGTCAATACACCTTACATTATATAACTAGTATATCCATAAATACACAAACAATAATTAAAAGAATTTTTTACAGCACATTGCTTGTTAGTTGTTACAATTTATCTAATAAATAATTTTTGTGTAGAAAAATCACTATTTTGGTCCTTCGATTATTTCCAACTATCAATGTAGTCTTTAGTTTTTAATTTTAATTAATTTGATCATTAAATTATTTAAAATTTTATCAATTAAATTATTTTGATGGATCAAAATGGTGATTTTCCTATTTTAAAAATTTCGTTAATTTGATTATCGAATGATTTAATTGACGACATTTTAAACAATTTAAGGATCAAATTTAATTAAAATTAAAAATTAAGAACTACATTAACAATTGGAAAACAATTGATGGACCAAAATGATGGTGACAATTATTATGTGGACCATGGTCCATATAGTGCTGTATAGACCATAATAAAATGTACATTTTAAATATATTAAAAGTACATTATTTGTGTACTGAATGTACATTATACAAAATAATGTATTTTTAGTATTTAAATAACTAGTATTTTCGCCCGTGCAATGCACGAAATGGATTTATTATAATATATTAATAGTATTTGGATCGATATATAATTATTTAAATTAGAACATCAAATATTATATAGTGAAATTGGAGATATTGTTTGGATCGTTTATGTGTTTTTATGTTATCAATGCTTGAATTTGAGCAAATATGCAGTGCGGTAACTTGGGAGATTTTATTTACCATTGTTCAGTATTTTTATAAATTAAGCAAGTGTGCTCGTTCTCTAACAACTCAGTTATAAGAATGAATTGATATCCTAATTCATTTGTCTGGAAAATATATTTTTTTGTCTAGATATATAGCAATTTTGTCATTTAAAAAAATATAATATCACCGATTGTATTTACACACTACTGAAACCTCTTTGTGGACAACATTGGTAGTAGCAACGCAATCTTATCCATCTTCGTCTAGAGCTAACACCTTCAATCCATCAGGATGGGTGACTCGAGTGAAAAAATATATATAATGGTAGAATATCAGTCAATTAGTGATACTTTTATATTTTCAGTCAATTAATAATGTCATATTCATTTTCAACCAAATATTCTTTTTATTTTTAGTCAATTAGTCAATTAGAATATTAGATGTAGTGATTTTTTACCTAATATTCGTTCTATTTTTAATTGATGATGTAGAATATTTTTATTCAAATATTTTCGTTCTATTTTTTATTTACTTTTACTATTCTTTAAAATATGCATTTACTATTGATGATGTAGAATATTATTATTGAAATATTTCTGTTCAATTTTTTAAATAAATACTATGATTTAACAATTTTTTTTTCATTTTAGTCAATTATAGATTATTTTTTATTTGCAGTCAATTATGAATATTCATTTCCTTTTATATTTTCAGTCAATTAGTAATATCAAATTCATTTTCAGCCAATTATTCTTTTTTATTTGTAGTCAATTAGTTAATTAGAATATCAGATACATTAATAATTTTATCTAATTTCTGAACCATTTTTAATTGATGATATAGAATATTTTATTGAAATATTTCCGTTCCATTTTAATTTTCGTTTCTTTTTTAGTTTACATTTACTATTCTTTAAAATATGTCTTTACTATTGACGGTGTATAATATTATTATTGAAATATTCTCTTTCCATTTTTAATTTACCTTTACTTGATGATTAGAATATTATTATTGAAATATTTTTGTTCTATTTTTAATTTTGTTTCATTTTTAATTTATGTTTCATTGTTTAAAATTGTGAAAGATTTATGATATAATTGTGATTTGAATTATTCTACTATGTAATATTATTGTGAAAAATTAAAATGCAATGATCTGATCATTTTCTTTTTCATTTTAGTTAATTATGGGTCTTTTTTATTTTCAGTCAATTATTAATATTCATTTTCTTTTTCAATTAACATAATTTCCGTTACTTCTTTCATTTTTAATTTTCAGTCAATTATTAATATGCATTTCTTTTTCAATTTACCTAATTTTTGTTCCATTTTTAATTGATGATGTATAGTATTATTGTGAAATATTTATGTTTTTTATTTATCTTTACTATTCACTATTGTTTGTGCGGAAAATCAAATAAATAGGATTTTATTTTTAATTATAGTATAGATTTCGTGTAATATTAATTAATTTTTGGTTATATATATAGGGATGCACTCAGGTGCAAATAAGTGCCCAAGAAGAAATATGCGAACGAATCAGCGCGCGACACGTGTCTAGATCTAATAACTTAAAAAAACGCAGTGTCATTTTCGTAAATAATTGAACATCAAAGTGCTAGTAAAATCACTTACAAGTGCACCTACTTTCACCTATAAGTGCATGTAATTTTACCTTGTTAGCATTCACTTCCCGCAAACATTCATGCATCTGGATGTGCTTATAACTATAGGTGCAACTACTTATAACTATAGGTGCACCTACTTTCACCTATAAGTGCATGTAATTTTGTCTTGTTAACATTCATTGATCTGAGTTCAGCGGGTAGTAATACTCCTGAAAACCACTCGCAAACATTCATGCACCTACGTGCAACTACTTATAACTATGTGTGCAACTACTTAGAACTATAGGTGCAACTACTTATAACTATAGGTGCACTTAGTATTGATGCTCAGTGTAAATTTTTACTTGCACCTATAATACATTTTACATGCACTTGTAATACTTTTTACTTGCACTTCGATGTTCAATTATTTACGAAAATGCCACCGCGCTTTTAAAAAAAATCAGTGTTTCTCATCCATTAGATCTGAACACGTGGACGAACAGAATCCATTCCTATTTCGCGCCTGGGCGAAGCATTCGCACCTGAATGCGATTCTATATATATATTACATAATACCATATAAGGAATACACGTTAATTATTCCCTAATTCAAAAAATTTACACATTAATAATATTTCCATAGTTTATTCAATTGACTCAGTTCCGTGCAATATTACCATAATAATATTTCATAATTAATTAGTCTATATTTTTTCATATTTAAAATATTTTTTATTCAATTGACTCATTTATGATTTGGTTAAACCAACCCGCATGGGCAGTTCAATTGGTCACAGATGTGAAACTTTGGAACAATGACCAGGGATCAAGTCCAACCTCTCAATGTGAGGGAGGGTTCCTTATGCGCAGTGAGCACATGTCTAGCCTTTGTGGTTCATGTTCAGTTGAGTTACCATGATTTATATCCTCTCAAATGCTCTATCGGGTCGGGGTTCTTCTTTTTGGAAGAATGATTTGGTTAAACCAATTCTGTGTAATATTGCCATAATTAATTAGTCTACAACAATATCATAAATTAATATTATGCTAATTAATAATTAATAAAATTTATTATTAATTTGACTATTAATATAGATTTTCATAAAGATTTATTATTCAATTGACTCATTTATGAATTGGTTCAACGAATTTTGTGTAATATTTACAAAATTAGAACTATATTGTTAAAATTATATTTTTAAAATATTAAATAAGCTATATAAATTAAATTTGATATTTGCATAAATATTTTTTATTCAATTGACTCATTTATGAATTGGTTCAACGAATTCTGTGTAATCTTACTCTATATAATAGCAAAATGTTTTTGCCATATCATTTTCCCGCCTAAATGAAATGGCATCATTCCATGGTATAACCTTAATTGCTAGATTAATTGTAGATTAATTGTGGATGGCTTAATTATTAATCAAAATGAGTTTTAAATGCCTTTGGGAAAAAAATAAAGAATCATTTATTTACTGTATATAGTTTAATTTATTAATTTCAAATTATGTTTATTTATATATTTATTTATTTATTTAAATGTAAAATTTTAAAATATCATGTGATATCTAATAACACAATGCTTTATAATAACAACCAATTTAATATAATGTTGTGATGTTTTAATATAACAACCAATTTAGTATTATAAAAAAAATAACATTTCATAATTAATTTTAATGATTGATGTTTGAATTTTATCAACAATAAAAATACTTAAATTTTATATCGTGCATCACACGGGACAAATACTAATATTAACAAAACTGAAACTATATTGTTAAAATTGTATTTTTAAAATATTAAATAAATTATATAAATTAAATTAGATTAAAT